AGTTTTTGTGATTTTTACTCATTGCAAACACTTTTCCCATAAATCTCAGATTTAATGCAGGGCATTGTTAACAGTTCTGTTGTAGCCTTTTGATGTTACTTACATCAGCCCTTGACAGCACAGAAACAGGAGAGGAGGAGACCAAGCTGTAACTGCAGACAAGTCAGGGCTGGGTGATGAATAAGAATATGAATTTCAGATTAGACATTGGAAAGTCTTTGTCTCTAGGAGAGTAGCACCGCACTGGATGGAACAGCAGTGATTGCAGAATTACTGTGCTTTGCTGTTTTGAATACTCGCCTTGGCAAAGTCCTGGATGTCCTGGTGCAATGTCTAGGAAAACACAAAACAGAAAGAAAACCTAAGATGTGAAGGAAGAAAACCTAGAAAAGTTAGACAGTTGTCGCTGCTGTTAAAATAGTAAGTACCCTTTCAACTGCCATATCCTTCCTTATTTCTGACTTAGTGTACTGAGACGGCCTGGCTCTGAACAGCCAGAAGGGAAACTTTATTATTCTGTTGGTCAGAAGTCTTTCTAACATTTTTACAAGCATTTGTCACCTCTTATCCCTTTCCTGGCTTCCAAGCTGCCCCATGAACTTGGGCATTCACACTTACCTGTACATGCTTTGTGGCACATTCGAGCATGTACCTTGCATGCCAGTGGGCTAAATCAGCCCATAAAGGTGCCAAACAGCTACAGAGGGATCTTTCAGAGGATTTTTTCAGTTCATTATGGCACTAAAATGGTTTCATCCTTTTCAGCTATCCCTATCTATCAGTCCCTCAAGAATGTCTGTTACTGTATAACAAAGAGAAAGTACAACTGTCCTAGTTCCTAACATCTCATGTACTTTATTAGACTTTTTTTTCAGTTCAGGGCTTTTCTAGGACAGTTATGCTGGAAGGTGAAGAGAAGAGCGTAGAAAAAGCAGTGCTAGGCAGAAGAACAGTATCCTGTTCCACATGAGAGACCAAGTCTTAAAAAAAAAAGAGAAAAGTCTTCTAAATAGGAAAAAGAAGCAAAATGGTAACACTTCCCAAAATATAAAAGACTTGAAAAAAGTCAGCCTGGGATTGTTGAAACATTGTATTCTGTTAATGTTAAATCACTGTAATATGCATTTTGCACTGAGTGTTTTGTTATACCTGAATAAATTATGGGCATTAAAATATTTTGAAAATAAGTCTAAATGTTATCAACTGAAAAAAAAAAAAAGAGATCTTTATACTTAAATATGAATTTTGCAACAGAGACATTTTCTTATAAAACATTATGCAAGATGCTGTGGAATATTCCAATTCACTCCGAACTGCACTGATTAGAGAAGTATCCCCCATACGAATTTTTTTGATCAATAGTAAAATTCAATTGCTTACCCAGACAAATACATTCCTGTGATATGCTTTGAGATGGGGAAGCAGGTCCTATCTCAAAGGTACTTATTTGACCAGGAAAATTGGCATAATTTACTGGTGAAGATGTCTATGTGTCCGTGGAGAATCAGGTAGAATGTGTATTTCCATGTCAAGGGACTAATCGTGCCAAAATGCTTGGGTTTTTTAAGAAATGTTTTCAAATTAAATAGGTTTTGAGTGAGAAATTGAACTAACTTGTAGTGTGCCAACGTCTTACTATTCTTTGCTGATGACAAATGTAATTCTGTATTTTATATGAAAAATTCTATAATGGGATATAAATCGATACTTTGCGATTACTGCAAAATAATAGAGATGACTAAAATTTAATCTTGTCAATACTCTTGTACTTAATGAGATTTAAAATTATGGTAGACCTTAAAATCAGGGGTCTGCACAGTCAGATAAATGCTCATTGGATTTCTCAGTCCTACGCTAAGAAAGTAATGTTTTGAATTTCCCATAGTTTTAAGTTAATATTTAGACATGTGCTTAATTCTGAATATAATAAATTAAATGTATAACAGAATCTTCAAATATTACATGTTGATAATGTCCATCTATTCTCCAAGTAAATATCCCTAATTACTGAAGTAGTATGTATTTAATTGTTTGCATGATTTTTAAATGCAGTAATATAAGTAAAACCAGCATAGTTCCACTTTCCATTATCCCATGTTTATTGTACCTCAGTATGATGAAATCTGTGTGGCTTTTTTAATCTCTTTGGCCACTGAGAAAAGGTAAGGGGTCGGGTGGTTCAGTCTTCTCACAGAATCTCAGAATGGTTTGGATTGGAAGGGATCTTAAAGCTCATCCAGTTCCAACCCCCTGTCACAGACAGGGACACCTTCCACTAGACCAGGTTGCTCCAAGTCCCGTCCAACCTAGCCTTGAACACTGCCAGGGATGGGACAGCCACAGCTTCTCTGGGCACCCTGTGCCAGTGTCTTTAGGAATCGCTTCCTAATATCTAACCTAAATCTCCCTTCTTTCAACTTAAAGCCATTCCCCCTTGTACTGTCACTATTTGCTCCTGTAAAAAATCCCTCTCCAGCTTTCTTGTTGGCCCCTTTATGTACCAGAAGGCTGCTAGAAGATTTCCCCATAGCTTTCTCTTCCCCAGTTGCATGCTTCTAGGCTTCAAAATACCCATGTTCAAAGAGTTTCCCTGTTTCTTGGCCTACGAGTGAATCACAGGAATTTGCCCCGTGTGTGACTGGAGCACAGGGTGTCACACCTGAATGCCACCTGCCATGCGATAATCTAACTCACAAGGATTTTTGTAACTGGAACTTCGCCTTTGTCCCAGTCTTGATACACGGACAATTGAAAATGGTGGAGCTAATGACCTTTTCCAGCCACAAAGCTAATTTTAAACATCGCAGTATCTTTCTGTATTCCTGATTGCATATTATTTTTTGTGTTCTGCATGTTACAGGGAGCTTTAAAATGCTGAACAGAAAAAAAAGCAGTAATAGTGCTCCATCAGAGTGGAGCTCCATCAGAGAGGAGCACTTTGATGTGCGAGTGCTCAGCTGCCAAACTCTGCAGCGTTTCATGGGCAGCTGAGCATTTTAAAGTTTTCATTCTTGTTTACAGAGCTAATTAAAAATCTTCATAGTGCTCTTCTCAAGGAGTATCAAAATCACAGTGGCTGCCTTGTGAATGAAAAGGTTTTACGGAATGCATGACCGGGAGCAGAGGTGAAGAAACCTGCTAGCCGTAAAAAACACAGAGCATATCAAATACACGTTCCCTTGTAGTCTGCGTTAAGTAAATCTTCTAAATAATTGTGCATTTGGAGTGTAGGTAATTCTGCTCATTTAAGAGCTTTCCTCAAGCAATTCTATTTGTTTAAAACAACGTTTGTTTTCTCATTAAAAGTAAGCATTAGCCAATAGCTCTGTAGACTTACAATACTGTAATGAGTTCCATGTGGCAGGAATGTGCTAACAGCATTGTTTTCTTTATTTTTTGTTAGGTTTTGGTTTTTGGTTTGTTTTCAGGAAGGAAAACAGCTAGATACACTAAATTTTAGCATTTAGTGACTCAGTATTTTATGCTTTAAATTTCTTTGTGGAGTTGTTGGTAAGACTGGAGGGTCACAGTAGTTCTTTCTTGCTGTAAGATCTATGAATATATTGTACTGATGCAAATCAGTACTGATGTAAATCAGTATACAGCGACCAGCAGTTTTATTTTTAAAAACATAAATTTTAACCATCTGGATATTCATACTAGGCTTTTATTTATTCTGAATATAAACCATGTAGTTTCACACACAGACATTATCAACTATCCTTTTGGTATAATATAATGGGAGCCCATTTGTACAGGTGCTTGCTGACAAATACACTGCATGTTTATAAAAACCAAGCCTTAGGAATGTACTGGGTATGCTTTAGGAGATTACTATACTGTTTTGATTTTAACATTACGAGTGCTTCTTTAGATTTCTACAGACAATCTTAAAATGCAAGTCAAGAACAAATGTATAGGAAGTATTACAAAATGAGCTTGTTTCTTTGTAACAGACCTTAAATCAAGAATGTTTATTATGAAGCTGTCAGCAAATATTTGCTTGCATACCTTTTATTATTTCAAAGGCTTTTATGAACGGTACATCACAGTGCTAGTGTAATTTACTTTCAAATACCAATTTCTACTGGTTTAAGCTTTCCAGAGACATTATAAAGGAAATGAATCTTAGATCTTTTGTAATAAAACATTTTTGCAAGCATTTTGTTTCTTCAAGATGCTATGACATCCTGTTCAGTTGAAGAAGCGCACGACTTTAATTGTACGACTCATTCACTTTAAATATTTCATAATGCTTTTATTAGTTGCACAGAACCACTGAAGTAAGATCTGTAATATCTAGTGCTGGTCATCATTTTTATTCATCATGGTTTAATAAGCATTATAATTACAGATTGAGGAAGAAATATGAGTTAGCTTTGTGGTTTTCCTTGGGACTTCTGTACGCATGGGTATGATTGGAAGGGATTATACAAGCTCTGTGAGCATAGCTGATTGCATTCAAATACACTGATGCAGTCTCCCCAGTCCTGACACATTATTCTTCATCTCTAAGTAACTGCAGAAAAGATAATGCATAAAATTATGAGTCCTGACACTATTAACTCCATCTGGCTTAGTAGTGAAGTATGAAAATTTGAAGGCCAAGTGGACTTGTTCTTGGCAGGTGTTGTAATGCATGCATTACCAGTGGAATTAGACTTCAGCTATTTTTTCCAACTGTTTCCCATGTTTGCTTGCGACTTGCACAAATAGCAAAGTTATTTAGAGTGAACTGTCAGTTAGGGAAGCTTTCATTTGGAGATTTCATCAGAGTTCAAGCTGCATGACCATTAGGAGACAACGTAAGCCCTCAGGGCTCAGTTTTCGAGTAAACATTGATGATGAAAATTTAGCATAACTTTCTCCCTTTAATGTTACAAATATGACTGTTTGCATGCCATTTGCATTCGTGTGTTATAATGGGAGGTATGGTAGGGCAGACTAATATCTGGTGCATTTTTTAATGTTTTGTTAAAACATCATTTTTTCCTCATCAGCAACTTATGCGGGAGCGACAGCAGATGGCCAGCCGCCCCTTTGCTTCTGTCGATGTAGCACTGGAAGTAGGAGCTGAGCAAACAGACTTTCTACGAGGGCCATTAGAGGTAGGAACAGTGGTGCTGACAAGGGACCATTGTGATTTGCATATTTACATTGCTAGTCTCATCTGCATCTGCTTCTGAAACCAAGCAGCATCTGATTACCTGGAGCTGACAAGCCTCAGCTATGTATGTTATGCCATTTTCAAGGCACAGTTTTAATAGCATGGCATGAGCTGTTATCAAAAGCCACTGGAGAATCTATTAGCTTGCGCTGGAGTGACAGTCAGCTCACCTGGCAGTCCTTCCGTGATGGATGTGAGCTGAAGGAATGCAAGACATAGGCATTAAGAAGGATGCAGACCTCATGCACAGTCCTTCAAGTACATGGTGCCCCTAGTTAACATCCGTCTTAATTAACAGAGATTACAGCAAACAAACAAGCAAATTAATAAAGCGGCTGTGGGTTGAATTTCGCTGTTGGGCTTTACATGTACAGGTTTAAAGAATACAGAGTATATTGCATAGTTTTGTTAGTAGATAATGGCTACATTACTGCATTCTTTTATTGTAATTGCAGTACATTGTAAAAGAAATACTAATATGCAAAGCAATGTGATATTGGAATAGTGTAATAATGCATGAAATGGATTCTGGAAGTTTCACCTGCAAATAGGAGGAGAATTACAATATGCAGATAATAATATCTAATCTAGGTTGGGCTTTTGGTAGATTGTAATCCTTTATTCCTTTACTTTTATTTACAATATTGTGTTTACAGTTATTACTTTATCTTATTTATGGTGGGACCTGGCAATGAGATCTGATAGCTCTGAAATCTTTCAGGATTGTACTTTTCTTTTCACTGCTGCCGATTCCTCTTAAATTCAAAGCTTCTCTTACTTTTCTCAATAGCCTCTTTCAATGGAAGATTAAATACACTCTATGAAATCTCTAAGGTTCCTGGAGAAGTGAGCAATGTGAGAAACAGATGCATGGCAGAAAGAAAAAGAATCAGTTCTTGAGTACTTACAAATTGAGGTGCTCTGTCCTGCTATTGTATGGGAAGCAATCACAATTGTTCTTGCTGGCATAATTTAAGTACTTGGAATAGATAGTGAATAGAAATTCCGTATCTCTTTAAAGAGGCATTGTTATTTTCTAACCAAATACTAGAACCCCCACGTTCTTCGCCAATATCACCATATTTCTATCTGCTTTTATCTTGGAACAGAAGGCCTCTCCAGCTCCCCAGGCTGAGGGCACATTACCCTGTAGTTAAAAGTTAACTCTTTTTGAATGTGATTTCATTGTTTCAACGCTGGTATCTGGGAACATTTTGTCTGTTGTCTTTTCAAAGGGAGGCAATGAGTGGGAGCTGAGGCATCCAAACTCTTAATTCTGTACGTACTGATTATTTGATTAAACTTTAGAAGTAAACATCACAAGTTAATTGGCACATTTTCTTATATCTGTTATTTAGCACTCAAAGACATAGATGCTAAAATATTTTAATTATATTTTACAGGGGCTTTTTAGCTTTTTCTTCTAGTCTAGCATTTTATAATAATTGTTTAGGATTCAATTTGCATAGTGTTTTTTCCTAATGAATACATAGTTATACACAGAATGAAGTTCATTCAAAGTTTCCTTGGAATTACAATATGCTGATCTATATCAAAACAAAGCATTGTGCTGAGGATTAAATGAATGTGATTAAAGTATTGATTATCCTTTGATGTATATTCTTTAAGAAAGAGCTATATTAATCTTCTATTCCCAGCCTATATTCAGTTTGCAAAAGGACACTGACAGTTATAGTAGCTACTCTGTTCTTCATTCTCAGCTCCCTTTCAGACTGTAGGGAATTTGAGTCATACATGCGTTTCCAGGGTGCGGTGATGAAACAATAGGAGAGTATGAAGTAGCTGTAACTTCATTTTGTTATATTTAGAATCATGAAACTATTTTAATGATCCTGTGATACCTGATGCCTACTGGGATCTTTTAAAGTTAGACATCTTTTGGTAAAAATGAGGAATATACAGTGACTCTCTTCAAAATGTTCCCACTGGCTTTGTGAAGATCTTCCACTGATATACCAGGGGTTCCAATATTAATGTTGGAGGCCTGCATTCCCTCACCTCACGTTTTTATTGACATTGTGTTGCTCATTTATACTTTGGACATTGTTGGTATACTTTCACTGACATTGTAATAACTCCAGCACTTCCAGTGGCAGCGTATTGATCCATGGGTCCTTTAGGCACTTGTCTTTGAACTCTTCCAGATATTACTACCAGACTCCCATTCAGCTGCATAGTAAGACTGCTGTTCATTAATGTCATCGGGGTTACATGCTTTTGTGCAGCTGGTGTCCTAAATTAATACTGATGGTCTGGTACATGTCAGTATTCAAACAATTATCTACATGGTAATTCCAGTATGCCATTTGGTTAGCTATTGTTTTATTATTTGCATTTATTTGTAAATATCTAGAGCAACTTTTTTGCTGTAGAGTTTTAGTGTGCAGTAGTAAGGCACATTTTGCCCAGTGTTTGGAAAGCATATCTAAGAAAATAAGAGTATGAATAGTGTACTTAAAATGATGGCCTATTTTAGATACTTACAACACAACTGATATATTCGGGTCTATTTTCAGTCAGCAGCAATTTGCAACAGATTAGAATAAAATCTTGAAAGCATTACAGGAGAGAGTTGAATCTGTTACTTTGGGCTCTCTTTCTGCTTTGGAGTCTTTACCAGCCAGTCTATCTTTCTTAATGTTTTGCCAACAAAATGACAGCACCTTGATATTAACTCCTTCAAAAAACTTTAACATGCATCATATTACTCCTGTTTCCTGCTGTCTCAGTGGGGTTTCAGTCACTGAAAATAGCCTTTGCTCTTCCCAATTAAACCATGTTATTCGTCAACCTTTTACCTCCTCAGGCTACCTTTCTGTGTAACCGAATCACAACATGACACTAACAAGTCTCATCTTGTCATCCGTGCTGTCATGTTGGCCTTACATCAACTATTAAATATCTTATTGTCAGCTTAAACTTAACACAGAAGAAATCAAACTTAGTTTTTCCTTTGCACTCCTTCCCCTTTGGTATCAGTCACTGTCTTGCTAATGATATTGATAGCATCATAGTATCCTAATTCTAAATCTGTGAAGTAATACCTACTCTTGCTGTGGCATGATATTCATGATACTAATCTTGTGCACAATTATCCTATTATACTGTTTATACCAATACCAGCATTAATTTGCATCTTTATCTGCCTCCATTGCTTTCCCTACTTCAAAGTGGTGAAATCTGTATGAGTTCTTACAAGAGAAGGTGAGGATGGAGGCAGGCCACCTCTCATTCTTCTTCCCTCCCTCTTGGGAGGGACAAGAGCAGGCAGTGAACCTGTAGATCCCATGAAAGAAACAGCCAGGGCAGGCTACAGTGAAATGGCTGGTGTGCAGGTAAAAGAAGAGAAAGAATTCCTAAGGTCCCCTTGTTAGCAGTTTCACATAGCACACAGACTGTTAGGAGCAGAGCAAGAGAACACCAGAAGCACCTTGTCCAGAGAGTTTGAGAATATTGTGGTATTTTTTGATACCACCTTAATTTTTTCAATGCCAGAATCAGAAAAAAATGCGATAGCATCATAGATCAATAGATACAATGCTTCCTGACACTCAGTGCCCTTAGTATTAAAAGGGTTTTTATTCCTTTCTTGTCTTTTTTTCTAGACATCTAAGTCATTTCCAGACCTGGTTGCTTTTTGCTGCTCAGTATTTCCCAAAAGCTAAATTGTTTAAGCTATCTTTGTATTATAAGCCTCCTTTAGGCAACTTTGTTTTCCACTAAATACAACTCACTTTTGAGGAGTCACTTCCTCTGTGCTGCTGACAGTCATTTTACTTCATCTCTAGGTTAGGTAAAAACAAATATAAATGTGGTGGGCTTTTTTTCTGCCCTGCTTTGCCTAAGTCCTGGGTATTTTTCAGCCCATTCAAAGCCCATGGATTTCTTTTGAAACAGGGACAGACTTTTTCTTTAGGCCTGAGAGATAACTTGGGCACTACTGTAAACTCTAATGTATGGTCATGCTAAGTTTCTGGTCAGTAGCATCCACTATGCTACATCTGCTGGAGTAAAGACAGATGTGCTGTTGCCTGCATTAAGAACCAAGTGCAGATTTGCTCTTATGCAGATTTGCTCTTATGATGATCATCCGTTTGATATCTTTACAGTAGTGGATATCTATTTTTTTGCAAATCGATGTTCTTTAACAATTATTTCTGCAGAAAAAAAAATGCAGTAAATCTTTCAGTCGTTTTTCCATCAAGTTACTGAGTTTCCTATAGAGTTGTCAGAGACGGTAGGTTGTTCTCTACTTCTGACAAGGTGAGATGATCTCAAGAATTTTGAATTTCAACTAAAACCCATCTTTGTTTTTCTAGAAAGCCTTAAGTAATATTTATGGTACATTAATTAAGTTTTGAATTTCAGGCATCTCTGAGAAGTATGAAGCAAATATAAGCCCTTATTTCTCATTTATTTAAGTAAAAGATTTGAAAGGTGTGCACCAACACCGGTAGCTATCATTATACCAAAAATGGCTATTGGAAATCAGAGTGACTCATTAAAACACATGAAAAACCTATAGCAGGGGTTTGTGAGGTTTAGGTAGTTGAAATTTATACTAATCAGCTTTGTTTCTGGTTTCTCCTGCCAATAATATGTCAGAACTTTTTAGCTTGATTTACAAATAAATGGAACGTAATCGTACAAAATTAAAGAAGTTGTATTCTTCATCAACATTACACCTGCATTATTTTGATGACATAATGTCTAATATCAAGGAACAGACTCTTCCCAACTGCGTTACAAGTCATCAGACTGCCCCTTGATATTCTCAGTTCCTAATTTTAGTCTTAGTGTCAGAGGATAACTTGAGTCTCCTTGTGAGGAAGTAATGATTTATTTAAGGCCATGATGAATTTGTCCCTAGAACTGTCATCTTGTTTCCAGTGGCCAAAAGGCAATACATATTTGGCAATA